TAAAATTTGAATTATTCAATGTCAAAACTATACAACTCCTATCGTAGCTGTTTAGAAAAATAGCATTCATAGTACGGAATATAAACCTAAACTCAATATTATTTAGTTTATTCAATATCCATGCAATCAGGGTGCAATGGCTTCTAGTAGGTATGAGAACTCAAGAGTACGAGATTTCAAAATACCAATGATGACCGATCGGTTTTGGATTCAAGAGTAAGCCCCCTTGAATGAAAACAATTGACTATCTGCAATATCGCCCTTTTTTAGGGGGAAAATCATGCAATGACTTTTCCCGCCCGGGTGAGGCGAGGGGGACTGAATTTCAGACTCTTACTAACTAAAAAGTACCCCGGTCCTTTTCCTTCTCCTGTTCTTACCGCTGCAATGACAGCAACCCCATAAAGACAGTTTTGGAGGTAAAACTGAGGAAAAGTTTTCATTTTAAACTACTATACACATATGTTTAGAGATTTACCAAGGTATATCCTAGAACTGACTAACCGCCGCAGGTTAAGCAGCAGTATCCCCAAATTTTCGGTGACCTAACCGAGATCCCCAAGTCTTCTTCTACCTAGCGTAGAGTTTATACTCCTGTATTTTGTGTCATCTATCGGAGCGAGTGTAAATAACACTATCTATATGGTATAGTACTGAAATCGTTGCGAATCCAGCAGCTGTAGCCAAATGCCATTTAGCGCTTGTCTACATGTAGAATAGAAAACCAAATTGTATGGAATTGACGTAAATTTTGACACTTGTCAGTGTCATCCCCATACATTTTGATTTCTACTCTCACTGTAGACAAGCGCTAAAGTGGCGTTTGGCTAAAGGCCCTGATTTGGTCGGGAGGCTGTAATTCATCAAACCTGTGTACAAGTCGTCTGTAGGTAGGTACTTTACTTCAAGTAAGACAAGTGATAGTAATTTATCTATATCACATTCGAGTAACACCACATCTTTGCATCAAACCCTTATCAACAAGCCTTTCTTAAGATCAGTGATATTGCAAATTTTTTTGATAATGTGTTATTGCATATGTCACAAATGCCTCCCTCGTTGCCTCGTTGGCCGAGTGGTTGCCAGTTTGACTGCCGGGCAAGGGGTCTCGGGTTCGATTCCCGGGTTATGCAAATGTTACTGAGTTTTAAAAAAAAATCAGTGGTAGCACGGAGCCTGGAATTGTGCCCGGTATATGTCAATAGGCTCATCCCCTATTACATGGGACTCGTGAAAAGTGGGTGGTACATAATTACATTGTACAATGGTATTAAGTGCCGTAATGTGCACGTCTGCCTACCCCTTCGGGGATAAAAGACGTGATGTTATATTATGCAAGCTTGGCAGACTTGGGGATCGCAGTTAGGTCACCAAAATTCTAAAAGCTCCTGCCTATACGGTGTTACAGGCCCCGGTCCAAAGAGCAAAGAGCAAGTTTTAAAAATCATTTCAATATTCATCGGTTGCTAGGTACTCATACACTTTTAACACAACTATGTGATTGCACCTGTGTACACAAAATGGTACCGGAGATTTAAAATCAGTAAGCGTACTTACGTAGGTACAGGTACGTCAGACACATAAATTATACGACTATTTTAAAACACACATCTAACTGTTTTTTATAATATACTAGCTGACCAGGCAAACTTAATACCGCCTAAAATTTTTTTTCTCACCTTTTAAACCTTCCCTGGACTTCCACGAACATTTCAAGACCAAAATTAGCCAAATCGGTTCAGCCGTTTTCGAGTTTTACACAGACGATAAATAGTTTTCGATAAGATCAGTAGCCATGGTTTAATTTCAATGAAATAGTCAAAGATTACTTCACTGGTCATTGCAATGGTGAAAATCATAAATTGTTGTTTATCAATGAATTACTCCTACACAACAGGACCTTTTTGAAGACATACCATTGAGCTAAACAATACCTGGATCAGTATTTAACTTAAAAAATAGTATAGTACCTACTACCACAAGAGATTAATAAAAAGTAACAGTATATTAATAAATATAAATAGACAAACCTTGGAATCCTCCGCACTCCTCGTAGATAATATATGAAGCGTAGCCCATGCTGCTGTATAGGACCGTCCAGGCAGGTCCGAAGACCCACTTAGGTGGGTTCCAGCTTGGTTTCTTCAAGCCATCGTACCATGCCTTCTCATTACCTTCCTTGCGGACCTGGCCAGCGAAGTACAGGCCGTTGACCCATCCACCCACATTGGGCAACACAATTGAACCAAGAGCGGGCCAGTTTGCCATCACAAAGTCTTGTACGCTGGAAAAAGTAAATATTTAAATGTTAGAAATATTGTTTTATTTGATTGTTAACTTAATCATTAGCGGACATCCTTGTACAATAAATGTTTAACCGAGGTAACCAGAAACTGTAGTTTTGATGCACAACTTTGATAACAGAATCCTAAGTTAACACGAAATTTCTGCAACAGTAACAAATAATAATCCAAAAAATATTCTTGACTTTAGAACTTTAGCAACCGTTTAGTAGCTTTACTGTTTAATGAAGAAATAATAAATTAAAACCAAGAAGTGTTCTTATATTAAATATAAATTTCAATATTATGATTTAATTTATTGCTCTCACCCTTCAGCTGCCATAGCAGACAATGTCCAAAAGAAGACTGCTGAAGAATGACTATTTTATTATAGGCTGACAATTTATTAAAAAATAATAATTTAATTTTGACTAGTCATACTGTCAATGCAGTCTTAAATTGCTATTAAATCATGAGTAAGCTATTAAAATTGGACATTAAACTAATAAAATAAATGTCAAGTCATACTAGATATTCCTGGAAAACAAAAATATACCTAGATGCCCTTTATTTGTTGAATTTTATGAATAATCCCTTAGTTTAAGTTTCAAAGTGAAGATGTTAATAACTTAATCATTTATGATCAGTCTGTGGTCAACGGTAACAATTATTCACTTTTTTATGGGATATGCGGTAAACATGCTGACATAAGATGATAAATGATTACATTGATTACAGTTATGCCAGTGGACAAACAATGTAACTGATGGTATCAGACTAAACATTTATACATCATTTTAAACAATACAAAATCGGACTATTCGGAGACATAGTCTGGGGTTTATGAGATTAATTAATATTGTACGGAACTCCACTATGTACCATAACTATGTAAGAAGATACAGTTGTGTCTTCTTATAACACAAAGATAGATATTTTTATTTGTATCAACATGAGTAATATTACAGTAATTTATATAAAAAATGAATTTCCTCTCATTAGTCTCGCTAGAACCAGAGGACGGCTGAACCGATCTGGCTAATTGTGGTTTGAAATGTTCGGTAAAGTACAGGTAGGTTTAAAAGGTAAGAAAAAAATGTAGGCAGTGCCGGGTCGGCTGGTATAACATAAAAACAAATTATATTCTTTGCAGAGAAAGTAAAAGTACCCCTCACATTACGAATTTAATACTTCCCTGTTCCACCCAAAACAATAATAAGTACAATGTTAATTATAATAATATCATGACCTAGCTAATTTTGGCTTCTGATAACACAGCTTAGCAACACATTTAGCCAATCTCCAATATTTATATAATGCTTGTTAAGTATCAATCAACAGATAAAAAATATTATTGACATTACATAATACATGGGATGTTTTTGTTATCAAGTTTGTTATTTTATTATCTGCGGAACTTTCTGGTAACATTTTGAAACTATTTTGTAAACATTCTTAGAAATAGCGTAGTCTGACATTTAAACATGTGTGTGGCATCTTATAAGATGACTATTAATAGAATCAACTGCCTATTATTGTTAGCCATATGTTTACCATGACTCCGTGAATAGGAATATCCGATGACCGAGTTTATTAATAAAGGTTGAAATTGTGAGTGGTGACTAAGAAATAGATTTGCTCACTATTTTATGGAAAATACAATATACCTCAAGAACAGACAATATTTGCATGTATTGTAGTTATTGCATTTTTATAGTATTATTCTTGGAAATGTACAACCCTGTCTTATGGTAAAGGAATAAAAACACATACAAAATATGTAGGTATGACTGTGACTATGTTCAGGTGAACAAACTGACAAACAAACTTTCTTAGAATTAGCACACAATTCTAATAAGAGACTGTGTGAACATGTGAACTCTCTACTCAAAAGAAATGTTGCTCTATAAGTCAATAAATTTGAACTCTATTTGAAAACAAATAAGTACTAAAATTAAACACAGGTAATTAGGCAGAAGTTCAATAGTAATTAGAAAACTAATTAGATTCATTAAATTACACACTTTTTGTTAAATGACAATAAAGTTTATTTTTGAATGGTTTTTTACTAGACATTTTTTTCTTTGTATCTACCTACCCAATAGGAGAAAACTAAAATTAAATGTGCTAGGTAAACAGTTATAAAATTCTAGATGATTCTGTCTGAAAAAGCCTACAATAATTAAACTGTTCTAATAATAATTGTTTGTAGGTATCAATCAATTGATCGAAAGAATAAAATATTATATAGCCTGGACACTAGCTTAGCTTCAACTTTACAAAAGTGTTATTACCTATTTATTACACATAATGCAGGTATTTCACTTATAAAACCTTACCTAGAATCTGCCATTGTGATTTTATTTTAGGTACTAAGTAGATTACACTTTTTACTGTAAAACCAACCACTTCACTGCTATAACAACTACACAAATATGAGTAAAATATTGAAATTTCCATACCTGTCCAACTCCATTCTTACTAATTCTTTTCGACAGACACTTGAGATAACGAAACAGTACTTAAGCCGTGTACGCCGCTACACAATTTAAATTAATGATAATAAACTGAAATCGTTCACAAAATATCGATTAAAGTCCGTGTGTCGCCAGTTAGATTAGATAATATTAAACAAAACTTACCAGCAATAGTAATTGGACACCTAATTTTGTGTAAGTGACGTAATTTTCGTTATTATCAACGATGATTGAGCCAAATTCTAATGTAGTTAAGTTATTCGTGAGTGAGCGAGTCTCCCGTAACCATTACGCAATTTATTTACATTTTAACCGGTAGTCTTCTAGAAAGGTAAGATACAATTGAAGTAAAAAGTATTGTTACTTACTCGTTTATGTTATTTAATCCAAAATCTGCTGGTAAACGCAGAAAACGTCTCGTAAATGTGAAAATAAAAATGTAAAAGCGAAATCAGCTTCCCGGAACAAATATTATAATACAAAATTGAAAAGTTATGGAAATATCGGAAATGCTTTGGAATTTGTGGGCTTTTCAAATTTGTAGCATTAAACTTAAATGACGTAACGTCACTTTTGTGTCAGATGACTGCATCGTTCCGTTTTGTGTAACATGCATCTTTCCGTTTTGTCTTAATAACAACAATTCAACGTTTCTTCTCTTTGAACTGGTAGCTTTCGTTACTTATAATTATCTAATACTACTTTACTTGTCATTTTCCGATTTTATTTAGATGTCTCCCATACCAACATAGATATTCACAAAAAAAAATATATCTAGTAGTTAAAAACGGAACGCAGATAACACTGTTTTTAACTGTTTACACTACACAGTAGGTACCGGCAAATACCGACACGTTAATAAAATAAATTCAAGGCTCCTATAGCTATTTTATCTCCTTTGAACTTTGATCTTACCAGTGTGGATGCCCAACAAGGAATGTTTTGAATGAAAATAATGAAAAACATTCTTCAACCAGTAATGAAATAGGCGCGCATCATCTAAACCATTCTAGCCTGGGATCAAAAATTATTACTTACCTAAATAGAGATGTACTCACTCCAATAACTTTATACCTAACTTAAGTACCTTTCTAGGTACTAGGCTTAGTTCTCCAAGCCTATATACATCTTAAAGTAAAACCTATCTAACTGGCTGTATCTTTTTCTAATTTAATATTCATCTAACGTTTAAAATTCTACAGACACAATGGTCAACTGGGGAATGATTGGGGCCATCATATCGCCCAATGTTGGCGGTTGGCTTGGCGCTCTAACAATGAGCGGCAAGGTGAAACAGCCTGATGGTAAAGCGTGGTACCAAACGCTGAACAAACCTTCTTGGACTCCACCCTCCTGGCTGTTTGGACCTGCATGGACAGCACTATACAGCGGCATGGGTTATGCTTCGTACCTCGTTTATACAGAGTGTGGTGGTTTAACAGGTATTTACAAAGTTGCTCTTTTTTATTTTTTGTCTTTTTACGGAGGTTTGTGAGTTTTGGTTCCACATCAATTTTTTTATTGATTTCAGATGACGCTGTTCTTCCACTGTCGTTGTATGCTGGTCAGCTGCTGCTCAACTGGACTTGGACCCCTATTTTCTTCGGAAAACAAAAAATTGGATTGGTAAGGGTTTTTTTATAAGAGAAAAATATCTACATTTTTATACTTTAAGTTTTATATGAAAAAATATAGTAATTGGAAGTTCAATTATCGGTATGACTTTAGCTGAAAAATAATTAACTTTTCATAATTATCGTCCTAGCGACGCCACTGTCCATTTTATGTCATCCTCCGCCTCTATAAAAATTAATTTAATTTATCAGCACGTATTATTTTATATGTAAACAATGTTCCAGGGTTTCGCCCACATGCTAGCACTGGACGCGGCAGCAGTGGCTTGTACCTACAGCTTCTACAACGTCGACCCGACCACCGCCTACTTCATGGTGCCTTACCTCGGCTGGCTGTCCTTCGCGACCTGCCTCAACTACTCAATATGGCAGCGCAACAAGCCCAAGCCTAAGATTTAAATTAAACATTACACCAGCTTAATTATTCAAAGAAAATGTATTGAAACAGTTGATTTAAAAGTGAATGATAAAGCATTTATCATAATCATAGTATTATGGAAGTCGACTATCCCAGTATTTTATGTACCGGTCTCGCAAAAAGCACTTCTGAGTACAAATAAGCAGTAACTAGTTTAATTCATTTATTCATTGAAATAAATAGCCATCACAATCATGTTTCAAAACTTCACCACATATGCCAAATATACCTCAATTGTAGCAAGTACCGTAATCAAATAAAATGACATTTATGTTTAGTATTGTACATTTATATTGCGTAATTCAATAAATATACACTAAGGATTTAAGTATTATTTCATGCGTTTTAATTTGTTTAATTCCCCTTGCTGCACTGACGCTTCCTTGTAGATTTGTTTCACCTTCTCTTTTCTTATATTGTCGCTGGAAAGAGACAAAAGGTTGATTAGCATGATTGCATTAAAGTTCGAAGTTATAAATATTTTTAACTTTATTACCAGACGATAGAGTTTAAAATGGATTGAAGGATGTTGATGACAAGAGCAGGTACATATTACAAAAAACCGAAGGAAGAAGAAATTGATCTCATTTTCGTTAAATGAGATCATTTTAATTACTTTCGTTGTAGGATCCAAGATAGTTTGTCCTTATCTTTAAATACAACAAGACAGAGCTGCATTATTTTGTTCTTTTTTGTTGTCAATAAGGTGGGATAATCATCGAAAGACTGCTCCCGCCTGGGTGAGGCGGGAGGGAGTGTCAGACTCTTACTGACTAAAAACCACCCCGTTCCTTCTCCTGCACGTCGAGCCGGAGCCCCGGTTACCCGTTAGGTTCTCCGCGACACACAAGACCTTTAGCTTTCCAATTATATAATAAAATATGTGACTTCATGAAAAGAAATAGGCTTGACCTGTTAAAATCTGTGTGTTCAATCTTACCTATGTATCTTCTGCCGTATCTTAACGGAGCCGATGTAAGATTTGTCTCTCCTGATCTCTCGGAGTGCTCCCTTCATCTCCTTCTTGTATTTGGTCTTCAGTCGCTGGGACTCTGCTTGTTCCCGAGATAGCTTGGCACTCTTGCTACCAGTAAACCTGGAAGACAGAGAAGAAATGTTGAATTTTTGTGGGTTGCATAAAGTAGCTTCTGTTTTTGAAATCGGCTAAAAATGACTTTAGGTAGAAGTGAAGAATGAGAATTATTTTCCAGTGAAGAAGGATTTCATAGACTTGCCAACATGGCCGATTTGAGGGTCTCGTTAGTAGGAAAAATATAATGAAAACCGTTTCAGCAGTAAGGATTAAGCTCAAATAAACATAATCAACAAATACTTACACTTCCTGAATATCTGGCTCGTACAACCTCAGAGCTTTCGGCCTCTTCTTCTCCCTGGTAAGAGGAGTGAACGTCTTCACCTCCAACCCAGCCCTCATGTACTTAACAATCTGATTCGCCCTATTAGCAACCTTCGCAGGATACAAATCCAAGTCTATCCTACCTACCAACTTCAAATGAGGCTCAAACAAATAAACCTGCGCCTCAATATCATTAAAATAATCAAAAAACTCCTTCAAAATCCCCATACTTGTCGAAAAACAACGTATTTTAAAATCATTGTTAATTTCTGTTAGAGTAAAATCTCGCGCCGCCATCTTGCCTTCAACGTCCATTTTCGAACAGTCTTCTTCTAAATTCAAAATTTTTGAATCTTTATGTAATCTAAAAGGCGGTACAACTTGTATGGGATTTAAAACTGTAACATTAGCGCTTAAATATAAAATACCTCTTAAAAAGTTTATGGCAGATGGTACTAATCTTTTTGATAAAATTGTGTATTCTAGAAGGAGAGTAGTTACAAATAAACCTCTTGATATTGAGTAAGCGTCGTTAAACCTACATGTAGTTAGGATTTCTGTCATAAAAATCATAGATGGCGTTGTGATCGGATGTCGGAAGTCTGACGTTGGATATAATAAAGATATTAATTTAAAAAATATCAACGTGTCCATATCAGGAACACGTTTTTGCCGTTTTTTGTATTGTCCATATTTTTCTTTTAGTAACTCTGCTATGTACTTTTTAGATGATACTTTATTTGTTTGTGATAGATCGTAGAAGTATGGAGCAAGTCTATCGAAGACGAGAAAAGCTTTGATGACGTCACTTTCTTCTTTTAAATCACTGAATAAGTCATTAATATACTGTAACATGTACGCAAATAGTTTTGTAAGTTTGTCTTTATTTTTCTCTGAGAGACTTGGATCGTAACTTTTTATCAGGTTTTGTAGGGCACTGGATTGTTGAGCTGGTGTTTTTCCAGTTAATAGTTCCTGTAAAAATGCACAAAACTTACAATTTTGTAAAGATTTTCAAAGTTGAGATGAGTCCTCAAAGGGTATGTTATGATCGAATGTGGTAAAATTAAGATAACATTGGTCAAAGTTAAAATGAAATAACATAATTATTTTTAAATAAATTACTACATGTTGCTTATTAAATCCACTTGCTTGTTCTAAAGTGACATATTGGAAGAGAAATCGCCATTCTTAGGAACACAAGTTACTAATTAAATACTAAAACTTGTAGCGATGGGTAAATAAGAATATGTATTTCCACCTACCTTCAACTTATCCCCTTCTCCATCATCAACATCAAAGAAGGAACCAATTTTCTCAACATCCTCCGGTTCCTGTTCCTCATCACTTTCAGCATCAGATTCTTTCAAGTCATTTAAGTTATTCAAATCTATTTCACTTCCTTCTTCCTCCTCCTCATCATCTTCTTCACTCTCCTCATCACTGCCTTCTTCATCATCATCACTAGAATCTTCTTTAGAATTCTGGAATAGTATAGTATCTTCTTCAGTTTTCTTTGCTTTCTTTTCTTCTACTTTTTTTCCGTTCTCTTTTGGTTTTTCTTTAGCTTTACTTTTGACTTCTGGTTTTATATCTGTGCTATCATCATCGCTTGATTCATCATCATCATCTTCAGCTGATTCATCATTTTTATTTGAAACTAATTTTACATTGTTTTTATCTTTTGATTTACTTTTCTTGTTACTTTCTTCGCTCTTATTGCTGGCATCAGATTCATTATCATTTTGACTTTGATCTTGATTCACTTCATCATCACTTTCATCATTTCCTTCATCTTCTTCATCAGATGTATCTGATATTCCATCATCGAATTTCGGTTTGGCGTTGGGAACTAAAATTATGAACAATATTCATTAAAAATTGTCTTTTTTTACAATAGGAAATCTAAATATTATTTGTTTAGTTACCATAAGAAGACAACTTAGTAAGAAGTAAAAAAAATACCTGAAAAATCTTTCAACACTTTCTCAGGTACCAATGGTTTTCCATCTTTATCGTAAGCAAGCATGAAATCATGTTCATCGTCCAGCTCAAAATTGTCGTCCAAGTCCTCAGCCGATCTGAAAACAAAAAAAAATTAAAGAGCAAGTCACCCCAAACCAATTTAAATTACAGTACCTCTATTCTCTTATATTAATTTAACATTATTTCATTAGAGTACAACAATACCTGTGTTTCACTTTTGCTTGTTTACTTTTAACCGCAATCTGTTCCTCCTCTCCCATCATCCTCAACTCCCTCTCCTTCTCCAGCTGTTCTAACCTCGCCCTCTCTTCTTTTGCTTGTTTTTCATCATTTTTTAGACCATCTGAAGGCTGAAATATTGAAATATAAAAATTAGATATCTAACTTATCTATACATCACATCAATGGTCTATCAGCTAGTGACCACTGTTGACCAAAGGCCTCTTCTTGCATGGAGAAGGTTTGACAATAAATCACAATGTGGTTTTGGAATTAAATACATATAAAAAGCATACTCGATACGTAAAGAAGTAACTATTTTGGGGCATTTGTACTTACAAATGCCCCAAAATAGTTATTTTACAATATCCTATCAATTATTTCTACTTACAGTGCCTCTCTTCTCAAACTTAAGTTCCCTCATCATCTTGTCATAGTCCATATTCTTCTTTTCAGCTTGACTTAATAACTTCTCAATAGCAGATTCTTCTGTCCTCATCTTCTTAAACACAACTGGTTGGAGATCTTTCCATTCTGAGTCCAACTTCTCTGTCAAATCTAGAGTTTGTTCTTTTTCCTTCTGTTTCTCTGCTTTTCTCTTTTTAGATTCCGCTATCAACTGTTCTATGAGGTCTTTGTGTGATTTCGCACCGTCTTTGGAGTCTGTTTTTGATAGCATTCCTCCACCAAAATGACCATCTGCTACGAATTCATCTGGAGAATTGAAAATTATATTAATTGCAAGATATACTTATACTGCTAGTTTGTTATGGTGTGTCTTAAGTTTTATCTCTGTAGTGTAATCTTCTACTTACTATTATGTAAAGCTAAAGTTTGTTTATGTGTAGGAACGAGTTAATCTCCAGAATTTCTTTTTGTGACTGCCTCATCAGCCAATTCCCGGGTCGGGCAAAATATTACTGGGGTTTAAGAAAAATCTAAATAGTAGCACGAAGTCTGGAAATATGCCCGGTATATGACAATAGTGAAAAGTGGGTGTTACTTCTGTGTGCACCTCTGCTTACCCCTTCGGGGATAAAAGCTGTGATGTTATGTTATGTTTTTTTTTTGTGTTGCAAAGTCAATTTATCGAGGAAGCCTATAGGCTATAAAATATCATGCTACAGTCAAGAGGAGCCGAGCAGGGCTATAAAATAGACATTTTATAAAAAAAATTAGATACTTACCACCCAGTCCACCAAACTTCCTGCCATCTTCATCTTCCTCATCATCAGATCTTGGATCATCAAATTTTTCTATTTGCTCTAGTGTTTGACCTCTGAAATATTAATTGGTAACTTTTAATAATTCTGTTTATGACTAAGAATTATTTATTTTTTGAACATTATGAAAGTTGTGAGCGTTATTGCAAAATTCATAAAAATGTTTAAACTATTTAAGACCATACCTGTGAGTTAAAACTTCATCATCGGCGAGATTATAAATGTTTTTCTTGTTATGCTGCTTTACCCGTTCTGCTGCAAATCGAGCTACCATACGCTCTTCAGCAGACAGCTGAGTACTTTTCTCACCAATACGACGGTCTATGAATGCATTGGTCTTATTCATCAACTTCATTTCTGTACCTAATGTCTCTTTTCTCTGTACAAAATAAAACATTTATAAAGATTAGTAACATAGCTTCGATTTATACAAGATTGTGCTTTACAATTTACATAATCTGTAATTTGAATTGGCACCTATTCTGGTTGAGTGACCATACATAAATTTCGGTTTAAACACCATAACATAATATTGAAGTGCCTTTCGACTATTTTTTAACACACTAAAGTTTATTAAGTGAATGTAATATAACAGTAATCACCTTCTGTATAGCTTTAGCTCTCGACACACCAGGTAAACCTCTGTCATGCTTAGACTTTTTACCCAAAACTTTAAGTTTCTCCCTGTTGATGTGAACTTCGAAAGGATTCAGTTTCTTCTTATTTATTTCAGATTTCTTCTTGTTATGGACTTTGTCCGCAAGGCCCGAGTTTCTCTTATTTTTCACTTTAGCCATTATGTGTAATTAGCTTTTAAACTGGCTAATAAAATTGTAAAACCACTACCGAGCCGAGAGTAGGACATAAATCGTGAACCGATGATACAAATTAGGTTAGGATTTTGACATTGACACAAAAACAACACATGCGTGGTTTTGACGTTTCAAAAGATGCGTTCAGTCGAACATGAGTCGAACTGATTAAAGCGGAATGAATGACTTTGGTTACAATATTTATTTGTCATTTAAAAATAGATTTATGATTAACATAATAATAATTTACGACTATTAATATATACAACTTAAAATATAAAAAAATAATTTAAAACTAAAATATTTACACCTTAAAAAAAATTAAAATAAAAATAAATCATGAGGCATCTTGAAAGAAAACATTTTCTTTGGTTATTGTCGTGGTTAGGGTGTAAAAGCAAAAAATATTTATTCTCATTGACATTCGTTAAATATTGACATATCTTTAATAAAAATATGTCCACATTCGAATTAATTACATCAAAGGACATTTTAAATGTGGAAGAGCCATGCCTCGGCACGAATGGGCCACCGGCCAATCTCCCCAATCCCCGAATCCCCAATAATCCTCAAACTCCTAATCCCCAAAAGGCCAGTAACGCACTTGTAACGCATCTGGTGTTCCAGGTGTCCATGGGCGACGCCAATTGATTACCATAATCCGTCTGCTCGTTGACCGGCTATAAAAAAAGAAACATAAAAAAACAAGACATTAGAAATGCGATAGTCTATAGATAAATCGCTTTCTCGCTTCGTTTATTTTCTTTTCTTTGTTAATAATTAAAAATCTAAGTTTTAGTTTATAGATATACATATTTTTTTGTTAAATAATTAATTTTTAAATATTGAGATTTATATTAAAAATGAACGTAGACTTTATTTATTTTATTTCTTTTGCATCGTAAATCGATGCTGCAACCTGCAACTAGCGCCGCAGTTGCCAAAATCATAATTTTGTATATATTATCTATCTTGTCCGAGTTACTTTAAGGTGCATTTTAGACAGATGAAATTACGATTGAAACTTGAAACTTGATTGATTTTAGTTCTGTGTTTTGTGGCTGTGTGCGCTAGTGTTTACAAAAAGCTCGAATTTTATTGGATAATCTCAACCGAACGAATAGCTCCGAAGTTGTTCTCGGCTAATTTCGCATTGACGCCGTGTTGCACATAGCGCGTAGGTATATTATTGTGTGGCTAGCAGGCTTGCTTTTTCTGATTCTCAATCTCAAGAAAGAAACTACTTGTTCAAGTAGAAAAAATGTCAGATTCAGAGACAGAAATCAGCGAAGAAATTTTACAAAAGGAAATTGCAGGTTAGTAACTTATTTTATTAGTGTTATTTGCTTTAAAAATCTCTTGAGCTATATAATTTGGTCTGCCCGGCTATGTAAAATGGCTTCCTACATTGAAATTAAGGTGAACTTGGTTTCAGCCTATGTTTTGACCAAAATATCTCTGATAATACAATAGTCATGTAACATTATTTTATGCGAATGTAATAAACTATAAAAATAACAATTGTTTCGGGTTTACTTATAAATTAAAGTGATATTTTTCTGAATTTGTCGTGGGATTTTTTTACAAAGGCGGCACAGACAGTCTGGATGCATTATTATTATTGTATTTTATCAAAATTGAAATGTGTATTTTATTATTGCTCATATACTTAAGTCAGTAGCTAATGTATTGTACTTATACAACATATTTACATAAAAAATAATAACTTAAAAACTAGGAAAATTTTATAGATAAATACTCTTGCTGTCTAGACTCATTTTATTATCTATTACCTATCCACAGATATTCTAGACCATGCAAGTCTTGAAAATACCTCAACCAAGAAGGTTATACAGAAACTGGAGAAAAAGTTGGGGGTGGACCTTTCAAGTAAGAAGAAAATGATTGATCAGATTGTAATGGATATTGTGAATAATATGGAGTCTGAAGACGAGGATATGGATGAGTCCAGTGATGAAGAACCGAAGAAGAAAGCTCCTCCAAAGAAAGTGAAGAAAGAAGAAGATGATGAGGATGATGAAGAACGGGATGACAGCAATGACAGTGATTGGGGGGTAAGTAGAACTTTATTAGCAGTATAATTCGTATTACGGAGACATATTAAATTAATTCCGGTTTATGGCTTACCTACTCATGTAGGCAACTGTAATGTGTACAATTCAAGTTAATTCAGAAAATGAGTATGTGTTTAAACCGTAATTAGTTTAGTATTGACTGTGGCACAAAATCAGATAAATTGTCTCCTAGCTGAGCGTAAGTCTTTTCTCATATTATAGAGTAAAGAATTGATTTCTTCAAGAAAATAAGAACTTCGAAAATATTACATTGCTACTTGCAAGGTTCGGATCTTTGGCCACCACAACCAGTTTAATAATTCTTTTAGGTACCTGTTTTATGCCTATACTTGAAGAGAAATAGTAACCTCATTTATAAAAAAAAAAAATTAATATTAGTTTCATAGTTTATTTAATGCAAGCATACAATCAAATCTTACCTCTTTATATAATATTAGTAGGTTAAATGAGTTTCATTCCCTGTACCATTTAACTCGTCGAGTACCGGTTTTGTAGACACAATTATAGAACAATAGGTTGCGGTCACCGGTGACCGCTTGGTGTTTGACAGTTTAATGGAAATTTGGAATCCAGCCATTAGCTTTTAGACCTTTTTATTATTAATAGCTTGTAAGTAAATTGTAAATATTTATTAAAGATTCTGTAATCAGCTTATCAGTATATGAAGTATGCTAATACAATTACTTATTGATCAATGGGTACTTAAAAATATCTTTATTGGTAGGTACTTCATATTCTTAGGAAGTGTTAGTTGTCGACAATTCTTTTATTAGAAGTGTCGAAACAAGCACATTTATTACAAATAAATATAAGTATATTAAACTGTCAAAGACCAAGCGGTCACCGGTGACTGCAAACCTATTGTTCTATAATTGTGTCTGCAAAACCGGTACTTGACGAGTTAACTCGTCATTATAGACACAATTATAGAACAATAGGTTGCGGTCACCGGTGACCGCTTGGTGTTTGACAGTTTAATAGTATTCCAAATTAATAAATGTCTATGATTTAGCAAGGCTTAACTTGTTTCCCCATTATGTGACCAAATTTCAGCTGAAAAAATGTGCAGTGCATCTAAAACGGAATTTAAATATTTTAATTTCCTATCTCGAGGTATGTAGCGTTATTCAAATTAATAAAAAAAGTATGAGGTCGGTATACTATAGACTTCTTAAGATTTTTCATAATCCATTAAACATTCCATGCATTTTTATAATCCATGCTACATACATAACCCAAAAGCTTTATTTATTAACCACTCACATTTTTATTTTGCCTGATCTAATCACTGGCACTTAACATTTTTTTGTTGCTATTCCATCAATAATGCACAGTCTTAGAAAAATAGTATTACCAAATAATATTAACTTGGCTCAGAGGATTGAGTTGCTCATGATTTCATCCTGCTTTTGCACAATTAACCTAGTAAATAAAAAAAGTTGCTATTTTATTTGCTCGTGAAAGAATTTTTTGTGGAGAATGATTCTCTGCTATACTTCTCTTGTTACAATTTATATGTCAAACGTAGCTAAAGAGAGATAGATATATTTTAGACTAGCATTGTTAATATTATAACTTTGTGGGCACTTAACTCTGCATTCGTCTGCACAACTTACCGAAAATAGTTGCACTTTTCATTAAATTTTTCATCGCACCTCTTCCACTAAGTAGCAAATTGATAAACTAAGCTACTAAAATCGATTTATTTTATTTACAGAGTGCAGTCGGACGATTATTTATGAATAGCGAGTGTTCAGATGATTGCTCTTGCACACAACAAGACTCACACATCCCGTCTAATATCAAAAGACGTGTTATAAGAAAGCACTTCACTGACCAACCAAGGAAGGCAGTGATACTCAAAAGAGTTGCTCCTAACTATTCTGATGATGAAGCTGAACTCTTTGGAAAGCTTACTGCTAAGAAGCTTCGCAAATTGCCAGAACATGAACGTGATTTGATGATGTTGCGTATAAACCAAATGCTTCTTGTCAAACTGTATTCCATAAATATGCACCTGGATAAAGCTACACAAACTACTCCGTTGCCATCGCCTCAGTTTCAAACAAAGAAATTGTATCGTGTAAATGCTATCCCGAATATTAATAAGCCTCCAAATCAAACAACGGCTAGTGCTCCGATACCACCAGCCAATGAACCAAAACCTGAAGTTACTACGACTAAGGAAACTCCAGAAAGTTCATGGACTGGTCGTTTTTGTTCCATTATGTAAAAAACGTCTTGTGATTGTGACAAGTTCTTGAAACCTTATCTTGAACTTACATACACAAAATTGCAATTTTTTATAGTTGTTTTCCCATAGCAGTATTATTTGCTTTCAATCAGGAAAAAAAATAAGTACAATGTTCCAAAGATAATAAAAATTCTATTAAGTCTACTTTTTACAAACACTATTTCAAATAAAAAGGGAAAACAACTATTGTTTTTTCTCAGGTCTCTCAAAAGGTGACTCATTATCCAAATACTCAACTTCTATGTAATTCCTAAACCAATAAGTCTGACTTAGAAAGTTTAAAATTCTTTCTGGTTTTGTGAAAACAAATAAAATTGGTATTAGTACTACAGATAAATTATACAAGTAATCCAAAGCAGTGATACTTGGCTGTGCAGAAAAAGTATTTATGAAGAAGCTATAAGCGAAATAATTTTTAGGTGTCTATTAAAAAAAAAAAGAAGTTTTTGTTAACATATTTTTATATACCTACATTTTTTGAAACATTTTGAAATTCTTGTATACCAGTTGTAAGTTATGACTATTTAAACTATCCGAGGATCTTCAATTAATTTCACCGCGAATACATCTCAAAATTTTGAGTCCCAATGTGACTCGAAACTAGTTGAGCGTCCTCGAATAGCTTACTTGAAGAAGCTGTACATGATTTACAAGAACACTTATGAAATATCCACAATCTTCATTAAACCAAAAATGGAATGGAGGAATCAATGATGTACTTAGTTCTAAGTTAGTATGTAAGCCAAATTAGAGCATAAACTCTTGTCAGCTTTAAAAAGTTTGATCATGTGTGTGTGTGATGTGATATTTTTAGTTTTTAAGTTAACTTTGCTATGCATTGTCAAAACTTTTTGAAACAAAACCGATCTGATATAATCAAATGTGTGTTTTACACAAATATTTTCTTTATTTAAATTAATGTAAGGACATTAAACTACCTGAATTTGCTAATAGACGTGACACGAATTATACTAACGGTTCCTTCGTTAACTAATTAACTTCAATAATCAATTACTAGGTAATCTACGTCTGTGTATATCTTTATATATTTTCACATAAAATATCTGTCTGTCGTAAATAAAACAAGCCATTTTTATGAAGTGTTTCTATGATCAGAATCAAGACTAGTTTACTAATGATCTAAGTAGTTAGATCAATTCGAATGCACAAATCCTTTCTTCAATAGGTTTGCAACTTTATTACAAACCAATAAAGTTTGATTTTTATTCAATAAACAGCAGTTTGGGGTAGTTTGATGTGCTGGTGTTTAGGTACTATAGTTTATAATATTCAATGAAATTGAAATAAAAGCCAATACAAGGTTTAACCGTTTATCTACAAGTGCATAGTATATTTTTGTGGTGTATGAATAAAGTAGTTAATAAGGTACACTTAATTATAAGTATTTCTTGTGTCTTAGCCCCTGTTTGATTAATCAGTTGGTGCCAAGCGGTTTCCGGGTTAAGACGCTCTGTCCACATAGTAGGGATTAGGTGTTCCGCTAGCGTATCATGACTCGTGGCGGAATCGCAGTGTGTCGGCGACGATTCTTAACTGATAACTAATGAAATGAGAACTGATAAGTTCTCATTTCATTACCCACCCAGACCCGAAACAAGAATTTGTGGATCACACAAAGTGTTGTTCCGTGCGGGAATCGAACCCGCGACTGGAGAAATGTTTCAAAATTCTATCTCTAGTTAGATCTACCAAAAGAAAACTTGCCGTCGTTACTCCCACCGATATCAATCTTATTTTGTAATGTTTTACAAAGAGAGTAATTTAAGAGTTTCTGTATTGCTTTACTAATAAAGATCTTTTGCTAATACTTACCTGGTTTTATTAGCTTGATATACGCCCGAATACTGAAAGGCTACTCAATTTTAAATTGTACTTAAATATCGTGCCATCTCTGTCATTTTACAATGAATTCGTAAAGACAGAACTATACTTAAACGCGACTCAATACGTTGATATTTATTTATTTATCATCAATATAATCGTACCCAAAATTTGTTCATACTAAAGTAGTCTCTTAACGTCGGAAAAAAGGTCTATGATAGAATTAGTGGAGAGTGGTCACCGGTGACTGCTTAGGGATTGAACAGTTAAAATTTGAGTAATCGAGTGGCGTTCGACTGGACCTTAGACCTCTAATAGTGATATTTTTGCTAAAAGCTCTCATTTTATTCAATCAAACCTAATGAAGTTTTAAGAGCTCAAAATATTTATGTCAACTTATTTACTATCATACTTAAACGCATATTGTTCCCACTATATTCATTATACGTACTTACGTCTGTTGGTTATTGGACCTAATTCAAATTTTCTGGCATAGCAATGCAACTGGTTGTGTGTGGCCTGTGGCATATTGAAGAAGCAGGCTGATTCTCCTATTAGTTATCTTCATGAGATACATATAGAAAAAAGTCGTAAAAATCTAATAAAACATTCAATTGTCTTCTAGTCTGGCGGCAAAAAGAAGAAGGCAGAAGAAAAGAAAAAGAAGGCTGCTCCCAAATCTAAGAAGGATAAGACAAAGAAGGTAAGTCAACAAAAGTAAAACATTTTTTATAATCGTAACGGATCTCCCGATCCCAACATCAAATGAGAACAAAAATCCATTCTTTGATTCCAACTCCTGACATATCCTAAACTTTTCTTTAACATTTTATAGGGTGGTGTTAAAAAAGCTCGCAAGGGTAGCGGATACACTAGGGCTTGCAAGCTGTCGCCAGCATTAGCAGAACTCATGGGAGAAAGTGAGCTCCCGCGCCATGAGGTCGTGAAGCGAGTATGGGCCATCATCAAGGAGAAACAGCTCTTTGACCCCAAGAACAGACAATACGCCATCTGCGACAAAGCCCTATTCAAAGTTATTGGAGAAGAAACGTTCCACACGTTCAGCATGATGAAGTACTTGAAGAATCATTTCCTGGATTAATTTATGTGTAAGTGTAACTTTATTTTTAAGTTGGTAATGTTTTTACATAAGTTTTGGCGCTGTTTTGTTGATGTTACGGCCAGTTTCAATAACCAGTCTGCTTGGAGATTTGCAGAAATCAATATATCAATAACCAATCTCAATTTAAACTCTGGATTGATGTAGCTTTTTGACAGAACAGATTTTAACACCGTGAACGCCATGGGGGACAAGGTATGGGCCACGATAGCGGACGATTTACCTTCAACAGTTTTCTGTCGGCAGTCAAACTGTTAAGATCAGATAGCATTGAGTTAATGTCAAAAGTGTAGACCTTAATCCAAAGATTTTGTCTTAAGATTGATATAAGAACTAGAAATAGAATGTTGTCTCCTAGTGTATGGAGTTTATGTTAAAAATCCTATCATAAATCAACCGACAGTTACATTATTGAGACTGGCCTTTAGTGTCATTCGCGTCTTGTTTTATGGTGTGTCTTCCGATGAGCTAAGCTTTATAACTTAAGGATGAGAATGAATCGTGTTTACAGTCAATTTTGTACGGAAGAGTAATTTAAAGTGTTATGGTTTTACCAACAGCCAGTATAAAGCTCATCAAGACATCTTGTTTTCTGAAATGATAGTCGCAATTTTGTTTCCTAGAATCGTGATCATGTTATTAGCCATATATTCCAATTTGCTATTTTCTGGATAGATTCAGTGTATTCAATAATCAATTTAGTCATATCCACTTGGATTAATCAACTTCCCAATAATTATATTCGTTTTTGCATCTCGTATATGAGATATAAATGTTTCACGTTATTTCTTCGAGCATAATAAACTATATTTTAAGAATGCTCAAAATTAATTAGATTTGATCTAATATTGATTGCATTGTACAATGCATTTATTGTTTGTTTTTCTTTATATGTACCTTATAGGAAGTATCGAATCATGTCTAAGTCTAAAATAAATCGATTTTTGTAATATTTTTCGCTCATACAGTTTTAAATCAAACGAAATATTATTTTCGTATATATTTGGAATCATTTATAACTTAAGGTACATTGTGATGACTATTATAATTATTATTAATTAATATCGAAGTATTTTACATGATTACGTCTAGAATAATCGACTAGGTGATAATTATATTGTAACTCTATTCCACATGTAATAATATCCATTTTGCATTGTAGTCCAGTCAATATTTTATTGTATTTCAGATTAATCACTTACAATAATGATTCTTGTTGTTAAGTATTAAAATCGTTTAAACGCGACTGGCTCGCTGATTATCATTCTAATATGATCTTAATCGTGTGTAAATAATTTTCATAATTGGACCGTGTTGTGCCAAATCATACCAATCCACATCAACCTTATTCTGAGATATTTAAGTTTTAAGTTTGACATGAGATAACTATTGTTTTTTATTTAAATAATTCTCCAAAATATATATCAGTATGAAGATATGGAAGTTCTGTTTTAGATTAAGATACAAACAATCAATATTTAAAGTAAAAAAAAAAAGAAAAGTGTATTTTCTCACTTGGTATATTTTGACATAATAGGATTTCTCATACTAATGATAATTAATAAATAAGTCCAAAATGTACCAATAACATTTTCTTTTGTATCTATTTTTTTTTTCAATATTTTGGGGTTTACAATCCACCTAAGTACTAAATAAATAAACCATTTATGGAAAATAATAAAAAGAATGTCATTTATTATGTTATTATATTCATACAAAATTATGAACAACAAGATCATTCTTGTGGTTCATGGCTCCTCGACTAGAGTAGGTATAGATGATATTCTATTGAACAATACAAAAAGTACAATATTATTTAAAAAAACTGCTTAAGGTAACACAGTACAAACAGTATTTACTAAAAGAAATGAACTTAATCTTAAATAAACTATGTCTCTTCTAATTCAAAGTCGGGTATAGTCCCGTACCCATCCAAATCATCTAGAATTTGATCGTTGCCTCGTAAATTCTCGTAAAAAGCACGACAATCAGCGGGAATAAGATGCTCCATGGACCGGAGATCGTTGAGTTTCGCTTGCGCAATCTCTTTGCCATCTGGCCACAATTGAACCAATTCGCTCATGACTATTTCAACTTCCTCTCCTCCACCTCTTCCTAATCTCTTTTTGATAAAAAGTTCGTCAAATTCGCTTTCAAAATCTATCCGCATAAATATAGAATATCTGAAATCTTTTTTTAACAGTATTTCTTTAGTCATAAGCCAGTTTACCTTTTTCTTATTTCTGAAAACTTTTCGGTTGACAATTCCCTGTTCAATATTGCTGCGCCCTAGAAACTGTTCATTTTTGTAGAAAAATTCTTTGAAAGTCCCATACTTGAGGCATCGGCGAGTATTTTTATCGGGCAAGTCATCAAATTCCTTCAAATAGTAATCTTCGTACATTTTACGAACCGTCATTCCAGGTTGCAGGTAATCTGCGTCGGTAATGTGATTTATATTTCGGTAGTTTATTAATGACCTCTTCAGCTAACTTGTATTCTTCTGATGATAGTCCATTATTTTTACCTCCTGTTACTCCTCTTTGGTCTGTTAATGAACCAATTCGCATTTTCTTTAGAGCTGTGTCAACTTTTTGTGTAGTTATTTGTAGTGTCTTCAAAAACATTTCCCTGCAAACTATTTTACCTCCCAAATTATAAACCCGTGTGAACTCTTTTGGCTTAGATGTTTTGTTAGGATCAGGTTGGTATGTACGTTTTTTATTTATTTCTTCTACACACTTAGTTATGTAAAGCATCTGCGCAGTATACGAGCCTAAATTCATATAATTATTAAATTCCTTCCTTCTTTCTTCTGTCGATACTAAATTAGAACACATTTTCTTGCAAGAGCATTGCATATTCCTAAACTCTTTGGGTTGAATTAAATTATGTTTTCGGTCGGTATAAGGCTTATTATCATACTTTCTTTTTTTGATTTCACACCTTGGGAAAATGCCTATGCGTTTTCTGCCTTTCTTGGGTCGTCCTTTTCTAATATCAATCTCTTCATTTTCCATAACACCTAAGTCCTGCTCACAATCGTTCTCGTTATCTGCTCTTTTTTCTACATCAGCACGTTCTTCGTTTTCTGCGCAAATATCTTCCTCTATTTTATCGAAATCATCTTGTTTATTTTTAGGCATTAAGTGACCCTCTTTCTTTTTTAGGCATTAAGTGACCCTCTTTCTTAGCCTCTTAGCCGTTCTATGAAGTTAATAAGATAATCATTATGTATAGGTACTTACTAAAAAAAAGGTAATAAAACTTAATGTAATTTTTTTATCATTTTATACCAAACAACAACAACTAAACTTCTTGGCACATATTGGCAGAATTATTTTAATACACAATTGTTGTATTACAAAGAGCATGGAATCTTCTGACTGATACATTGACCTGTATTTTATTGCCAAAATATACCAAGTGCTTTTGGTACATTCAAGCAATATTGTTTACGCTTAGGACAACATATATACCAAGTGCTTTTGGTATGTTTAACCAATATCGTTTGCAGTTTGCTAATATACCAAGTGCTTTTGGTACATTCAAGCAATATTGTTTACGCTTAGGACAACATATACCAAGTGCTTTTGGTATGTTTAACCAATATCGTTTGCAGTTTGCTAATATACCAAGTCATTTTGGTACATTCAAGCAATATCGCTTACAGCTTAAGGCGAGTTCCAAACGGCATGTCTTGAATTGACCAAAAAAAAAAATGTTTATTCATATTGTGGGTTGGTTCCAGATACCTTTTATTTTTTAATAACTTCAGCTATATGTGTCAGATTGAAATCAAACTTAGCCACATGAATTTAGAGGTGATTTTACGTTGGATGATGTATATAACTCAATTTTGACGAAATTGTGGATTGGTATGATTTGGCACAACACGGTCCAATTGTAAGTGAATAATAAAACTGAGATATATATAAATAAGTATCTTGCCAGTCAGATATTTTTAAAGTAGATCATTTTTATTAAACATTACACTTTATACATATCGGTAGTAGATTCTACCTTTTAAATACAATACCAATGCATTTTTTGTAGTAAAACTAGTTTTTAATAGTAGCAACTCTAAATAGATTGAATTGTTTACTATTGTTTTTACTAGATGGCACTAGTGTGTTTAGGGACATTTTTTTAAAATGCCAAAATATTTCAAATCTACTCCTTTTCGATCAAGGGCTAGACAATTACAATGTTGAATTCGATTTCTGTAAAAATTACTAGCAATTCTGAAACAACTAGTGCCATCTTTTGAAGCATTAACGAACTAGCCAGTCACATAATTCATCAAGTAATTACTGGATTTTGGTCTTAATTATAATAAAAGCTTTGTGTCTTGGCAGCCTTCAATTTTAGTATAAGTTAAACACTTTTGTAAATATGTCAGTCAAGTAAAAAGTAACTGTCTTATTGATAAATTGCTCAATCTACAGTGGCCAGCTAGTCAACCTGCTCCTTGGTCCGATTTGTTTATTATATTTTCAACTTTATTGTATTGTGATAAAGTTGGAATCATTGACTAAATTTTACAGACTGGAGTAGCTCGATCTACTGGTTAAATGGTTAAAGGGCCAAAAAGACATTTTACTAACAACCTCATTTTTTCCTGTTCTAATCCCATCTCTAAAGTATTGCCATCCTTTTCAAATCTCTGTAGTAAGACAGAGATAGCAGTTGAGCAATTTATCGCTAAGTTTTTTCTATAATTGTAAGTTTAGCCTCTAGGCTTTTGAGGCTCTGATAAATGTGCAATGTCTCGGGCCGTTGTAAGTCGAATTATGACTAGACTGAGGTTGTATCTCTGCGAGAGGATGAATACAATAAAGATTAAAATAAAAACATTGAATGTGTATTATTTTTTATGAAGAACTTACCTGTTTTTGAGTGCTTAGTCAATCTGGGGGCTTACAGTAAAACGGGGTGAATAGAATTCGAGGGGTGAATAGATACATGAATGGGGTGAATAAACGTTGGGAAAATATATAAATGTATATTCTAACATTTATTCACCCTATTCCTGTATCTATTCACCCCTCGAATTCTAATCACACCGTTTTACGGTACTCTTGAATCCAATTCCGATCGATCGACATTGATATTGTAAAATTTCGTACTCTTGAGTTGCAAAGCAAGCACACGTATTGTGTGGATATTGAATGAACGAAATGGTATTGAGTTTGGCTTTATATTCCGTATTCTGAATGCTATTTTAACAGCTACGATGGGGGTTGTATAGTTTTGACATTGGATAATTATTGAGACTTTATAGGATTGAAATTGCATTGACATTGTGATTGGTTTCAAGAGTAAGCACCCTGGTCATGTAGATGGTCCTGTAATCAATTCTCAACCTTATAATAATGCTGAATCCTATTAAGATAAAAAATCTCTTTTAGCAATGATAGTGCTATAGAACACCAAAATGTCTGTATTTATTTATATGAAAAGAAAATCTCTAGCTCTAAAAATATTACTTAAATCTGACTTCAACGATGTTCTGTGGATTTTTAGCACCTGACATGATGTTAAATTCTTAGTAGAACACTGAATGCTTAAAAAAAGCAAATGTTGATTTCGTTACGATACATGTAAAAAAGTCATAGAAAAAAGTACATGCGTTTAACAAGGACGATCATTTTTACAACGTCCTTGGCGCAAGTTTTATCCTCTGTAATCCCTTCAAAGAGGTCGGTAAACACCTCGTTAATTTCAATCAAAAACCATGGAAACGTTTGACATCGATTTAATATCAAAATCACCAACGCAACGAAAAACTGGCGAGCAACAATAACTCGAGTAATAATTTAGATAATTTTGGGAGAGGGAGCTGAGAAAACATAAAAATGGCGTGCAACGAGAACGTTATAAAGAATATGGCTAATGAAATAACTAGGAACTGTCAGGCTAATAATGTGACGGTAGACCCAGAATTTGTGATCTATATGATAGACTTGTTGCTGCTAAACCCCAAGTATGGGAAACTCTTCGCGAAGACTATCAACAGGAACAATTTAGCGTATTTCGTTGATGAGTGCGTCTCTATGCTGACGAGTAAGTAGCGATTCAAATTGCTTAGCTCAAGTTAAAGGGGACTTTGTTAGTCAAAATCAAAACCATTTCATCTCCTCCAGAATCAGAAGTTATGGAATTTTCTTATGTTCCTCTTTAATAAGATTCACCTAAATCAGTTTGGTCGTTTTAAGATGGAAAAGGATGAAGAGAATTTTCACAAGATCACCCTGTAAATCCTTTTCAGATGATGGAACTGCATTAAACACTTTAAAAATGCAGTTCATTTTACAAACAAACTACGATAAACTGGAAGTATTGATCGAGAAGCATTTAGACCACATCGAGAAGTGCTTGGCTCCCCTAGTCGACGAAATTTTAGACATGGACCCTGAACTTGGCAATGAAGCTGAGTACCACAAGCTGTTTCGGAAGATGTCTATTTATTTCGTTCTGGCTAGTGGTTTGGGGAATCCTAGCTACATTGTTGTAAGTAGATTCATTTAGATCTTACCCACCTTCATTTAGAGTTTAGTACCTACCTTACCTTACGTGATAGTACCTATCTGTACTGGTACGACATTTTATGTCAATCCAACTGGAGCTTTGGTACTTCAATTTGACGTGCGTGGCAACTCGGCATCGAAGCCAAAGAGAAATAACGATTTACAACAAAATAATAACTGCCTGTCCATTGTCTTCGAGATTAAACCAAAATTAATTTTCGGTCTTCAAATATCCTAGACGTTAAAAGAAGGAATGGCAGCCTTAGAAAGTGTCTTCGGGATGGAAGATCTCAATGCATTCGTGGCATTACCTCGTACCGACAAAAGCGTGCAATTGGAAGTACTGTTGGGGTACACGTCTGGCGTGAGACTCTTCAACAGGGACTGCGGTAAGGGGGGTGAAGGAATACCTGATTGTGAGTACCTGTTCTCATGCACCTATTTTGAATTAGAATCACTTTGAAGCAACTCGTTGCATCGCAAAATACCTAAAGTGCATATCACTTATAATTTTGCAAGAGTTTTCAGAACATCAAACTTCTTCAGAATTTGCTAGCGAGCATTACCAAGGCTTTGATATAAAATCACTATTTATTTGCTGTTGTTAAGATCCTTCTTTGCCGTCTAATTTACAGTGCCCCTCAACTTAGTCGACGCGGGTAAGGCATGCATGTCTCTGCTATCCAACTCTCTAATAACTGTGATGCAAAGAGTGAACAAACTCACAACAGCCATAGAAGAGGCCATCACGATACAGGAGGAAACTGGCAATATTATTGTAGACCTCAGTAAGGTTGATGAACACAGTGAATTAACTAAGTGAGTCTCCTTTATGATTTTTGTCATTTTTGCGAAATGAATAAAGTTGAGAATAGAGTGCAAGTTTAGTTAATCGAGTTAGATATTTTCGTCTTCTATCACGCCTTCACTCCTTATGGCTAAGATATTTTTCTCGACATAATATAATAATTATTATTTATCATACAACTAAGGAGTATCTAATTCTTATCATTGAAACTTTCGATCTTTCTTACGTACTCTTATGAATTTAATATTTATATGCCGATGATATTTTTAAATTAATAGAGAGAATTACATAGAAGTCTTTGACTTGCTTGCATTCAACCGACAGTATGAAGTGTTTATTCGCAAGTTATTGGCTGATGTGGAATCAATGACGTATAAGGGATCTAAATACGTGGAAAGAACGAAGGCAGTTCTCCAAGAGCTGCACGCTGCAGTCAAGTATAAAGCGGCTGTGCCAGTCCAGAATGTGTTTGTGAGTATATTGCTAATATCCTTAGTTATCCCTTTAGGTATAACTACACTTTTTCTTGAAATATGTTATTGAAAAGATGCTCTACATTCTAGAGCATCTTTTCTATAGAGTCTAGAGTCTAGACACTGCATCTGCAACTACAAAGTAGGTATAATAGGTATCTTAAAAAGCATGGTACCAGATTTTTACACCAAGAAGAGTTGCAAATATCTGCTAGCTATATACGATGCTTCCAGCCAATTAAGAGAGCGTCTCAGAGAAATCATAACTACTTTTAGAAAAGCTCCTGGTCTTCAAAGTCATCCTAAACATTTTTTATCGTCATCTCTTTTACAGCCACTGTTCACAAAGCTATGGGAAGTTTGGCGTGCGATGCAAAACGTAATGTTCCTAGTATCGACTGTGAACCGACTGATGGGGATCATGGGGAGCATCCAGGATAAAATCAAGATGCCTCTCAAAGTTATTAACAAAATGCTTCATGGGAAGGTCGTTAATACTGACCAAGTGAGTTGGATAGTTTTCTTCTTGACAAGTTTCCATTTTAAGTGCACTTTTAAGTAATATGTTGGTTAGTACAAAACAAAGGAAAATGGTGACCGTGCTTACTTTTGCATTTGTTTTGTAGCCAAAGCATAAGGTTCTTTTAAACCTTTTAAAAGGCCGGCAACGCACCTGTCACTCCTCTGGTGTTGCGGTTGCGCATGGGCGGCGCTGATCACTTACCATTAGGTGATCCGCCTGTACGTTTGTCTCTTATTCCATAAAAAAGACCTTTTTGAAAGGCCCCATATGAAAATTCGAGTACACTCTGTATAGTCAATTTGGGTGTAGTTTTTTTACGTTCTTTAGGCATTTTTTTTATTCTAACAAACTATTTAGGCGTTTTTATCACAGATATGTCAGCCCCATCGTACCCTTTACATTACTTTGCTATTATATTTTCCTAAGGTACTCTAGAGAATCACTTGATTAATTATTATTCGTGGAGGACGAAAATCAAATAGCACAACTTTTTCATAATCGCTGAAGATGGTATAGATAAAATGGATTGTATAATGCCTACATCAAATTTATTTATTTTAAAATCCTTCACGAATATCTCACGTTCTACTCCGTTCCGAGCACACTCCATCAACAAATGTTGAACATCTTCTCCTTTAGTCATAGAAATCTCTTCTTAATGTTTGGTTACGTATCTTCAGTGCAGACTCAATATCAGGCCGAGCACAGCAGAGAGGATATCACTGGCCTCGTTACACAACTACGTCTGCTATCCAAGCTGTACAGAGATCCTCGGGATCAAGCAACCCGAGGTATGTATTAAGAATTCCCGAAGCTGCGTACAACCTAACGGGTTACGGCGGTTCCATCTCAAAGCAGGAGTAAGAACGGGGGTGATCTTTAGTCAGTAAAAGTTTGACACTCTTTCGACTCACCCAAGGCTCCCTTGCAGATGAATGATTAGATAGTAGCAAAAATATTCAACGCTCAAAAAAATTAGGTACGAATAAAATCTGTGAAAATCTAGATCGATCCAGTAATATTGGATTAACCCTTTGAGTACCGTCATTATAGACACCAGTGTCCTTGCGGTGTTTGACAGTTTAAGATTAGTTATTAATTTCTCCCGTTATTTATCTGTTCTAGTTCTTAGGATTTTGCGCATTATGTCTGGGTGTTGGTGCACTGGTCCCCAGCAACGTGAAGATAGGTCTCATCAAGTTCAAGGGCGGGTACTACGGGTTCTGCAGTGTTAAGATGGCTGCCCGGTTCAGTAAGGATCCTGAGAGGTAATTTTCTATCGAGAAGTCAGAAATCTTAACTTTAAAGTTTCTATTCACTGGCTGGGCGACCAGCTGTTGCAAAGCCTGGTGCGGGTTCGATCGCCGCACAGGACAAGTCTTTGTGTCATCCCTGTCAATGTTCTAGGTCTGGATGTGATGGGTACGTGAATTGGCTAGTTTCCTAGGTTTCAAATAAAGTGTTTCAAATTTTAAATGCAATAAATAATTAAATAATCATACTCTCATCCATTGATTCCACAATTTGCCTACTTTTGGATTTTTTCTCGCTAATTTTAAGGAAATAAGTATATTATTTGACGCAGAAATATGATGACGTCATAGGTTGCGATCCAATACAAAATTCATAGAAAAGTATCGTTTTTGACATTTCAATAAAAGTATTGAATTTGACTACCTGTCAACTACCGTATTTGTATGTTTGTAAAATTCGTGAACCGGGATTATAACGGGAAATAACGACTTGAGATTGAGAGAACTTTCTATACAACTAACTAAATCGCTTCCACCTTTCGACCAGGTACATACACGAAGCTCTGAACTACGCTCGCAACAACCCCCACCTCATCAACTTGCTGAACATTATCGAGAACGTATTCAATGTAAAGGACATCGACGAACTTGTTGTAGTTCGCGTACCGAAGAGTAAGTACATAACGCCATAGATGACAGGACTTTTACAAAAGTTTTGCTATTTTAGCTAGATCGTAGCGTGGATGGACTTTACAACACAAGAAGAATTTTTGGAACTAGGAGCTCCAGAGAACCACAGTATGTAGAAGGAATTCAACCGGCCGATCTAAAAGTCATTGGGGCGTCGACCTATCGTCAACAGTGAATATCTTGTGGTTGATTTTATGATGATGATGCACTTATCAACAAAAATCTAGTTTCATTTGTTTTTTTTTTTAATTGATCGATAGGGTCATCCTAATACGAAAATAAATCTCAAATTGAATCATGTCGTTTTACAGTAAAGGTATTCGACAAGGATATGCAAACGGAGACACATCCAGTACCAACGTACAAAGATAAGAACTACACGTGGGACCTTTGGGAGTGGAAGAAAAGAGCTTGTCAATGGGTGCGTCCGAACTTTATTACTAGTCTTTTCTTCTAAATCCACCCACTCCATTATAGACCTTGTTTCCGATGTTTGGAGACTAATTTTGTATGGACAAGTTTGATTATTAAACATGTCCAAATAGTTTCTGGTAATCTTCGATTAGTTACAAGAACTATAAAGACAACCTAAAGATTGAATGCTATTGGAACATGTTTGTATAACAACTATTGTGAGACATACGGGGGATACTCACGTGAATATACTGACCCTTGGCGTTATGTGGCTCGAAACTAGTAGCGCTTTTCTCAATTGCACATGTTCATCTCTGGAAAAATATTTTGCATTTGCTGAAGCAGTTCATTAATAATTGCTATTTGAGAGCAGATACAATTCTTAAGAATATAGCTGGTAAAACAGCGAAAATTTATATCCTTACTTTAGGGTGGGTAATGCGGATACCACTAAAATTATTACCACAAATAAAATACCACCATTTTTTCACCAACTCTAGGCCACAATAGTAAACTGTAAGACGCATTCAACGCAAACGAACTACAGCCACCTCCGTTCTGACATCCAATGTCAGACGGTGGAGCCGAGGGACAAGAGTTTGCAGACCAACAAGGATACTGGGATGAACACTGTCAACTCCCAGTACTTCATATGGGGTCTAAGGGGGCAACGGGGTTACGGGCAACATGTCATGGATTTAAAGATTCAACACTCCATGGAGGCTCTTAAAGGTGAGTTTATCTTTATTATTGTTGGATAAAGTATTACTTAGGAGTTATGGAATAAAATAGAATAGTTTTATTTTACACCATATAAAAACACAAAGGAGAAAAATTTTGAAATTAGCCGTATAATGGTCGGTCCTATTACTATATGGCGATCTCTTACAGACAACCTTTGGATAGTTAGGCAGTAAAGTTATAGCATAAATGATTGACAATGATTTACAATTATATACTTTGAGCACAGGGCATAATGCATTAAATTGAGAGTTTGGCAAACAAGCTTGCCCAGTTTTGCATGGTGCGCGCAATGGCTGGGCAACCAGTATTTTTTATGGAATAGAAGGCAAACGGAGCCACTGTTACCCGTTAGGTTCTCCGCGACTCCGAATCGGCATCGGCCCTATTGGGCCGATCTGTGGTGGTCTGATGGCTCTTTGAGGCGCGCGCGGAACGCGACGCGCCCTACGCTCGGGTTTATCAACCGCGTTGATGAATAAATACTATCATAAATAAATTATTTTTTTCTTTACAGCTAAAACAATATCCGCATGCACTTGGCCGTGTATCGGTAGAAGAGATGACAGCGTGAATGACTCCGTAAGCGAGGACAGAACTTTTTACTTCCCCAAGTCCGATGAGGACGAACAAAAGAACTAATTTCTTTATTAATAATTATGTTTTTATTGTGAAACTAGTTGCTTATTCAACTTCCATAAGATTTTTTGCATCAAAATAATTAGAATACCTAGTAAGACGCACGGGCTGCTCGTAATTATGAGCCCCAGTCGTAGCTTGAAACTAGTCGAGGACTCTCGAGTAAACCGTTTACTCAAATTAATTTAGCTTTTGCTTCATTTGGAGCGGTCGATGCATTGATATCAGCTCATCAGTATAAGAGCTACAATACCCTGGAGAGAAAAGCATCAATTGGGAGCAAATTTTTTTTTTCAAGGATTTATAACTAGGTACCTATTTGATGGGACTAATGTGATTGAATTTTGTTATTTAATGTTTTTTTAAAAAGAATTTATGTATTGGTTGTTATGAATTCTATCACAGAAATGTTTGCAAAGACAGGTGTTATTGATTGGTCTTAGATTGAATATACCTTGTTGTAGTGTTGCCGTAATAAAAATATTTATCTATTTGAAATATGTGTTTATATTGTCAAAATGAAACCAAAACTACGTGTACATAATATTATATTGTGAATACTTACAGTAACATTACAGGTAGGTATATATTTTAACTTATCTTCGTAACCTAATGAACGTGTCTCTGGCTTCCCTAGCCAGTGCTACATCATCAGCTCTCAGCTTCAAGGAGGCAGCCTCTTCTCTTAATGACACTAGTGACGTCACTAGTGCTGTGAGTGACGTCGGCAATATGGCGTCTGGGACTGACAGCTTCGCGAATTTTGACTGGAAATTGAGAAAAACGTGTTTTAGGTGATGTGATAAAGAAATGCAGACTCGATAATTAAGTGAACTAGAGACTAGACAGACCCATAAGTACCTCAGTATAGTTCCATACTAGCTAACCTAAGTCTTAATACCCAAAGGTATTTTAGACATTTTGCTAATTTTGGTACTTAATTAGAAATTCAAATACAACAGACATCCACCGAAGCTATTTCTACCCAGATTTTAATTAAACATTTGATACATGGATGGATTTCATGCATGGCCTTAATTTGATCATAACGGAAAATCGAACCCGTGACATTTTGCCCACTAGTCCACAGTCAAAATGTACCTATGACTAATCTCACCTTAGCTTTTTCACAGCTCTCCTCATAAGAAGCCACCTTCTGCTTCAACTGTCTAATTTGCTCTTGAATATTTTCCGGGTTTGGATTCTGACTTGACAAAGAATTTCTAGAATCCTCCAATTCTTTCCTCAAACCGTCCAAAAACTTGTTATTACGGTCTATTTTCGCTTGGAGTTCATTATTCTTTTGTTTTAGTTTTAATATTTCATATTCGTCTTCTAGTTTTTCCGATATTTCTTTAGTTTGGTGTAGAGAGATGGCGATGGGATCGAGTTGGTTGACGTCCATTGCTTGTTGTGCCTCTGCGGCCTGTTTGAGTAGTTGTTGGCATTTCTGAGGTAAGCCGTCGATGGATATATTTAGTTTCGATAGGATCTCCGATGTGAGGGCCGCTGGAAAAAAAATAAGACGTGAATTAGATACTTACGATTGGATGAAGACATAAGTACTATTTTGAAACTCTTTTTGGCCAATAACTGATTAATATTACAACCCCACAGAAACCTGGAGTAAGGTAATGCTCGCATTGTATTTCGCTGTGATAAAGGTTACAGGAGGAATTGAAATTCCAATTAAATCCTGAGCTTTATCTAATTCCTAAAAATATTAATGATACATTTGCAGAAAAACACTCACCACTTAAATTCTTTTATTACTTCTTTAAACTGTTTAGCAGTAATAGGTGCGCTTCAAAGAAAAAATAAATAAAAAGACAAAAATACTAACTAAACAATTTAATTTACTACATTATAATTATAATTTTTTGACAGTTTTTATTTTAATATGGGAAATTTGACAAGACTTTCAATTTTCTTTGCTACATTCAGCATTAATTCTTCTGATAATGGTGGGCCCATAAGTTGCAGAGACAAAGGTAAATTGTTCTTTGAGAGTGTTATTGGTATAGAAATAGCAGGTATACCAGCCATGTTCGCTGGCTGTGTACAATAGTCCTGGAATGCACACTGATCCCTATTGTGTTTAGCAACAAATTCATGATACAAAGGTGCATCAGACAAAGTAGTAGGTGTCAACAACAAATCCACCCCACCATCTGGACTAAAAACTTTTTTAAAGTCATCCATTATCAACCTTCTTAGTTTGAGAGTCTTTATGAAATATTTTACATAGTTCCTTGTCAGTAAGAAGTAGTTGCCAGCCAGGATTCTTGATCGGACTACTTTGTTGAAGCCTTGATGCCTGGTTAATGCATAGAGCTCCTCTGTAGAACTGTTCACATTAGCTCTAAGGCCGTATTCTATCCCATCATACCTAGACATGTTACTGGCAACTTCACACTGGTTCAAGATGGAGTAAACGGCTATTGAGGCTGAAGTGTACGGCAATGAAACTACTTCTAACTGTGCTTTTTGTTGTTCCAGTAAATCTGCCACAAGACCCCATATATCTATCACCTCTCTGCTCATACCTTCACAGTGATATTCTTTAGGTATCCCTATCCTTACTTGTGATAAGTCGATATCTTTCAATGTTATTGGCTCAAATGGCTTTTTAATAGTAGTAGAATCATTTATATCAGGTCCAGCTACTACATTCAATATCGTAGCAACATCTTCCACATTGCGTGCCAATATACCTGGCACATCCATTGAGTTTACTAATGGTATTAAGCCATGTCTGGACACAAGTCCATAAGTAGGTTTTAGACCCACAACACCGCACAATGCCGCTGGATTTCTTGTGGATCCACCGGTATCTGAGCCTATTGCAGCCAAACAAGACCCTGATGCAACCGCAACAGCACTGCCCCCAGAACTGCCACCTGAGATCCTCCACTTCTTCTTGTCATACTGCCAAGGGTTACGAGTTGGTCCAAATATAGAATCTACTGTTCCTGAGCCCATAGCGAACTCGTCGAGGTTACATTTGCCTATCAAACAAGCGCCTGCACGTCTAAGTCTGGAGTACACTGTCGCATCATAACTCGGCACGAAGTTCTTTAGCATCTCCGAGGCACATGTTGTAGGTATGTTGCTGGTACAGAAGTTGTCTTTCATAGCAATAGGAACGCCGTCCAATACCTTCGGCTGTTTTGAGATATAAAATCTCTTTTCACTCTCAATACTATGAGTTTCAGCAGTATCTTCAGTTACACACACGAATGCATTCAAATCTCTGCTCTGTTTGGTTCGCTGCAAACTTAAATCGATGAAACTGGTAGGTGTTAACATTTTCTCAGAATAAGCTTGGTGAACCATTTTTATTGTGTAACCCGTTAATTTATTCATGTTTGTAAAATTATCTTTAGTTTCTTTTACATAAAATACATCTATTGAAGCGGCATAGGTTAACAACAAAAATTTTACAGCTGATGGCACGCTATCAAAAACGAAAATACGCAAAGATTGTACGAATTTACGAAACGTCAATCTGAAACGCTCGTTTAATTTGGGCGGGATGTGGTAACATATTTTTAGAAACTGTGACTTACCACTTGCAACACATTCTTGTTTATCTTGCTGAATTAAACCTGAATATAGTTTATCATCATCTTCATTATTTACTGAAACCGTCTTCATTTCGAATGTATTTGTTTTGAAATAAATGGAAATAATCACAACCACAGAGCATGTAATTATAAGAGGCGGATCTTAGTACATTCAATTTTTTGAGAGTTCGTAACGGCGCTTAGCCAACCACACAATGCTACCAACA